AATGGTGTGATTTGTGATGAAAGTTTGGGAAAGACCCGATGAAGATGTCAATTGTTTTCGCAATGGGTTGGCCCAGGACTTAAATTGCTTGACAGTCTCCCAGATAAACAAAGTACATACTCATTCTCACAAGATAACAGAGGAGCCATTTAAGAGTTCAAACTACAAAAACACAGACAGAAAACAAATCATGATGCTGAGACGAACAACTCAGATGTTGAAAAATCAAAGAATCGTCGTAAGCAGAACTTGGAAGATGAGGCAAATAACATGCAATTAGTTAAAGATGATACTCAAACAAGCAACTTGAATATTAACTATCTAAGGGTAACTCTTTGTCTTAAAAAGAATCCTGATTCTTTTATTTGTTTTTACCCGGCAGCCGGGAAGTGTGCACAAAAAGCTGGAGACCTGGTAGTCTGAAATTCCATGGAATAATTCATTTAATTCTCAGAATACGGTAGAATAATAGATCTGCCATAATTCAGTAGGTGTTGGTATCAACAATGTCACGCAACCTGTAGCGGACTTTCGTCATGTGGTCAATTACAGTTCGGAAATCCATTGGTATTTCTACAGAGAGATCAAGCATTCTCAGCAGGTTCGAGTGAACATTTCGGTGGAAAAGCTGAAAGAATTTCTGACTGCTGAGTATATATAGTTTTTTTGAAGAACCCTCCCTGTGAGTCACACAAAGTTCATCGGAAAACTTGCAAACTCAAATCATTCAATAACATGATCGCATGGTGCCTATGACCAAAGATTAAAATACTCAAATACTCTTGGGAGGTTTCAAATAATAATGATAATCATCTTTGTGGAAATTGATTATCTATGAATTTTTGACCACAAGGTAGCTAGTATTTTGAACAACCTTGCCTGTGAGTCAAGACTTTTGTAGTATGGCCGGGAAAATTCGTCCACTACAAAACCAAACCATTATTTAGTCTGTTGGCATTTCTGAAAAAATATTATTTTCATTGTGGACAAAATGTCAAAACATTGAGATGTTATAGTTTGTCCAAGCTCAAAAATTTCCTCGGGTCTTTTTCCAGTACTGTTATGGCTGCATTTGCATCTATCATCATGTCTACTTAATTGCTATTGTTGGACACCTATTACTATCAGAGCTCCACGTTACGACTGCTGGAGTTGCCAATGTGACCAAAATTTTTTTCACTGGTGACTAACTTTCCATGCTTTTCACTGAATTATATACTTTTGCTGGCAACTAACTCTGAAAACTTAGGGGCCAGCTGACCCCAACGTTTTTTCCTGAAACTCGAGCCCTGACTATGGAATTGACATACTTGAGCCCGAGTATTAAGTCCACTGAACATAAAGGGCCAACCCACACACAACTGCTCTCATGAGACTTTGATAGCTCAGTTGGGAAAGCATTGCACCCATATTGCAAAGGACGTGTGTTTGAATCCCGTTCAAGCCTGAAAATTTTTTCAGCTCTTTTTTCCAGTAGTGTTATGGCTGCATTTGCATCTATCATCATGTCTGCATTTAATTGCTACTGTTACACATCTATTACATATATAAAACATTTTACCAAGTTAGTTTTGGAATGTCCCCACTGTGGACTTTTCAGCAACAGTTAGGCATGTGTCTTGCTTCTTGCAAAAGACAGGTTCTGGGAAGTACCACAGTTCTTGATGTGAACCCCTTTGTGTTGTTTTGGACATCTTCAAATGATGGTTAGCGCTGTTTGGGGTTGAGTGAACCCAAACATTGTAAGCAATGTTTGGTTCATGCTAAAGGTTGCATTTCCTGTAACTGAACAGATAATTGATAATATGATTAGACAAAAAATTGTGAAAATGAAAATAAGACCAAGCCATTTTGGGAATGATAGGAAAACAATAGATATATTGTTGTCTTATCAGTTTTAATGAAAGTCATGTTTTGTGTGAAATGAGATGACAAAGCTAATTGGTGTATGGGTGTAGTAGTCTGTGAGTGGGCACATGATATCAACACCAGAACAAAATCTGGACATTATCGTTCAATATAAATTGTTCTATAATAATAACTGAGAAAATTGACTGGATGAATACTGCCGGAATAAGCATCAACTGCGTTTAAGCTAATACAACATTATCTTTTAGGTATAAAATTGTACAACATGTCAACTTCATTGCATTGCTGCACCCTGGAGTGAACGATCCAGAAACCAGAACAGTCTACCAAGAAACACTCAAACTACATTGAAAGGTAATTGATTATAAATTTACTGCAATTCTACTGATCCTATTGGCTCCTGAAGTTTCTAGTGTTACATTATACAAGTGATGGCATAGAGGATGCTGGTATCCATGCATACGGCATGCACAAAAATGTTTCCCGGTAAAATCAACTACTGGATGTCACATCTAAAGATTTTTTTTAACCGACTTAACTCATGTAGATGTTGATGCATTCCAGTTGAAGGCCAATTTTAATCAAAAGATATTACAAGAAAGACACCAGGAAAGAGACAAATTCAGAGACACTGATAAATTTAAAGAGCAAAGTACTGATAAAAAAAAAAGATAATCCTAAGGGTTATAACATGTGTTACCCCAACAGCCTTAAAACGTTCCTGAATAGCTAAGCAGCATACGATATGTTAACTATATTAATTTTATACACAGCATTTTGATTAGTCTATTTGTTGAAACCATGTAAGCACTTTGTGCAACACCGAAGGCAAATAACATTGCTACATTCATTCTTGTGGCATTGTTTGAAATTGATGCATCCCTACCAGAACACAAGAAAAACTAAGGTTTGATCCATTTGTAACGGGAAACACTAATTTGGGATGGTGAATCATTCAATCGCTTTGCTTTTTACCCCTTGCCCATGTAAAAGGGTTGCTGCATGTCAGGAAACGGTCAGGAAAATAGTTCTTTGGGGGCAGAGGATTTTATTTTGATAACTTGGGGAAAAGTGGCATTTTGAAGAAGAGTCATGGAAACTGAGATAACTTAAACACAACTGATTAAATACCAGTTAAGGCTGGTGAAAAAAATAAAACGAACAACAACACGTTGGGTCTCTCTGATCTCAAGTTTGTTGAAAACTGAAGTCGGACTGATAGCCTTAATGAATGGGTAGAAGGACGGCTGTGAGGTAAAGCTAAGAGGCGCCTACTATCTGACATTTTTTACCTATGTATTTATTTGGTCAGGGAAGTTAAATTTTTGTGAGGAAAAGCACATGATGATGATGTCAGTGGCATTCATGTGTAGGTACAATATAGCTGTGGTGGGCAATACAAATGCATTGCCATAAGCTAATTTTGCAAGATGGTTTCTACATAGTAGAACAGTAATATTTAGATTAAGCCAAGCTCCTGATTAAAATAACTTACCCTGGCTTGAGCGTGCAATCCAATCAAAAACCAGTGCAATGGCAAAAACAGGTTGAATTAGTTATCTGTGGCAGGAAAACTTTGCGCTATTAAAGATGGCTGCCATGATTTAGGTACAACACATTTAAAGGATCCTGGGAAAAGCGTCCCAGGTGGAGGAATTTGCGGGAAACGGGCGGGAAGAAATCGCGCCTAGTCCTCGAAGGGTACGACGGCCATTCAAGGTGATGGTGAATCAGCCGGGCACGATGAGGAATGATGATGGTAAATCAATTTCTTCACCGAGTGATTAATTAAAATTTTTATTAGCGTTGTTTCCCATTTGCTCTTTGCATTGCTGTCAAGAGTACAGAATATATGTCCGCAGAAT